AAGCTAGGGAGGTATCTCGATATTTATAGTAAGCCTCTGGGTGGTCGCGGCCTACATCCAATCCCATACTGACTATGTACCTGCCATACTAACAATTCAGTGTCTGTGGAGTGGGAACTCCCTTTGACCCTGAAAACTAACTTTCCCGCTCTCTTCCTGAGCATAGTAATCAGCTCCGTCAAAGACTTATCAATGACTCTTCTATGTGCATAGCTTAGAGTGCATGATGAAGATAACTACCTCATCTAGTGAGTTGTTATTTAACCAATCGTAAACTAGTCTTCTAGATGACCTAGTTTACGCAAGCTAGGAGTGGTGCAGCTACTTCTCGGGAATAGCAGCTCCAAGACTTCCGGAGGTCGTAGCTTAATAACTAACCGACCAATCCATTTCAAGCAAGTCTTATCTTGTAGAGCGGAGCTCCTTCTATGTTATCCACCGAAATCCCCTCGGTCGCATGCCTCGTATCTCCACTGCGCAGGCTGAATAGATGCCTTATCGTTTCCTGCGATAATATGATATTCTGACAATAACTACGGCAGGGCCCAGAGTCGATCAGGTGACCTTATGCATTTAGTCACGTGCTGCACCCTTTACACTTCTATGTGTAACATAAAGTACCTCCCCAAAAGTGTTGGTGAAATGATCTTTTTACACCAAAAATTAGCAGGTTTGATCAACCCCCACACCTGGAATTGCTTCAAATAATCCTTGCAACCCATATAATTATTTCCACCTTCACTGCAGCTTTTACCTGACACCATTTATTTTGTCAATTTATTCTATGGGGCTAAACTACAAGTCTCCAAAGTTGACAATACCTGTTGCTATGCCATTTTTGTATGTAAAATGAAGCTTTTTAGTGAAGTCAAAACTTTAGGACTGCATAACATCTCCAATTCTTCCCCCAAGTTATTAAGAGTCAAGTAGGAGTAGCGTGGGATTATTGTAACTACATACCAGAAGCCAGGTTGTAAAATCTTTTGTGGTTCCTAAACTACCAGTGGCGAAAAATCAATGTTTTTGGTGTAAAAAGCCCATTTCACCAACACTTTTGGTGAGGTACTTTCTCATACTTGGCTGCAAGACCCCCCCCCCCCCCGGCCATGGGTAACGACCCAACAACTCGTGCTTGGTGACCTCCCCCTCTAGTCTCCATAGTCGGATATTCTGGCCATGCCTTACACCAGATTCACAGAGACCTATCCACATAAGACCCACCGAAGCGGAGTAAGATTCAGTTTGCCCATGCCAACAATTCTATCAGTGTTAGGAGCTCTTTAAGGTTATAGCTCCCGTAGCCCCTATATTCGCTTTTCGATTATGTCAGTCAGTTTTCATCCTTCTTATCCCCTGCCTGTACGATATTTTAGGGCAGCTCAGGGGGGTCCAGCTCCGCCTATGAGGAGGAAGCAAATTCCCCCCCCCCCCCGGTGCTTTGTTATTCAGTTCGGAAAAAATCTCCCGTGAAGATCGCATATCAAGAAAGCCACCTTGGACAATGCCCTACCTGGTATCATATCCCAAAGGTGAATTAACCAACCCACCCCCAGTACTCCCCACCAGAATTAATCTGTTGCTACCAACTGCAACTCCAGACTGACGATCCGGAGATAGGATGAGATATCTGACATACTCGCTAGCCAATAGTCATAAAAAGGTTCCCCCCAGAAATAAATAACATGGGTGGATTACATAATTGAAGAAAGGCTGCCAGTTGGTGCTAACAGGAGTCCGAAAAGTGGCTTTTAAATCGTATGTCTCCCCCGTCTCTTCTTTTATCCTTCATCCTTAAACCGCTTTCAAAAATTGCAAACTAGGTAAAGTTCTTTCCAATTCTCTCCCCTAAGCCTTCTTCTCCTATCCCTTTTCCCATCCCATCTTCATGTCGCTAGTGGTTTATCAAAGAGGAACACCCAGAGAACCGCCACCGGCGCACTGGTATGGGAGCAGACTTTCCCATGTCTCTTCCCTGTGACGATTTTTCCAGCCATTGCTAACTTTTCACATATTCCCGCTAGTTACTGGGGCCGTTCACGACCACTCACTCGAATATTTAGAAATTCCTGCTCGGTCGTTATCCAAAGACTTGAGCAGCTTTGAAGTCAGTCAATTCGGTTTTAGACATAGCGAGTATTATGCAAGTGCACGTTAAGGCGTTTTCATGAAGTCAAGTATTAAGTTGCAGGTATATCCAGACAACTGTTTCCTAACAGTCCCAAAGTTACTTGTAGTCAGGGTGACAAGTCAGCAGGTTACACCAGTGTAAAGGCTTTAGGTGGGAAACGAGAGAAACCACCAGATGGATTATATATGGTGTGGGTTTATGTTGGTTTATATGGGGAGAATGCTCTCTGATGCTATATGCAGGGTGATAGAACTAATCCCCGGTCCCCTCAAGCTCCCCAATCTTGATAGGTATCCCTTGCGATAGTTATAATGCCGACCCCAACTACATTTTATGAATATTAATCCGCAATACTGCCGCACCATCAAATAGGGGCCACCACATAAAGTGGCCTAGTGCGGTGGGACATCAGAACCGATGTGGGAGCGGAACCATGTCACAGGAAAGCAACTGGGTTTTTCTCTTTTGTTTTCCTCCATCCTCTTAGTTCTCTATAGGGGATATCCTCTCTGTGACAGCCTGCCCATTTCCGAGCCCCTAGTTGTATCTGAAGTCACCCTCTGGGGAAACAAACTCCTCATCACAATCTCATTCCTACTGGAACCTGGTTAAGGCTATTTTCCCAAGTTGACAGACAGGAGATGGTTTCCTCCGGGGGTGACGCATAAAGAAAAGGGCTTCAGATGTCCGGCTCCAGCGACTTGAGTAAGGATATTCTGCATGTTCATCAATAGGGGACACGGGGGGGATCCCAGACTTGTGGCTCCCTAGCATCTCAGTTATAATACAGCAAGGGTATATAGCTCTTGGCCCCCAAGCACCCGTCAGAAGAGCTAATAGCAATCCTGTTGCTGATATTTCGTGGAACCTTCCCCGTCTCCTCCCAAAGAACCCCATTTTCAAGATGATAATGTTTGATCCCCAGCACCGACTACACGCCCCAACACCATCCCCTCCTGCGACCGATCTGCAACGCTACCGGCAATGAAGGCCATTATACTCACGACTTCCCTTCTATAACACTACAGGATGAACGCTCTCGAAAGAGCCCACAGACTCCGGAGCCACCAACATTAGGCACTAGAAAACTTAGTCAACACCCCCGCGAATAATATCTGACGACGATATGAACATCATCCATATTACCGAAAGCCAACTTTTACAACAGCAACGTGCCTCCCAATGCCATCCAGGCGTCCCTCTCCCCAAAATCCAAACCCAGCAGCATTCCATCACACGTAAGATCAATTTCCACCCCCAGCCAACACTCTATTCGCTACTCTTCCACCACCGTTAGGTCCGTCAGCACCAACGCATAACCCCAGGTGTGCTGCATATAGCGGTATTCTACAAGTACGAGTATCCGGTGAAGTACCCGATGATCTGAGCCCTAATCCACTACAGGTAGAGAGTTGGGCCGGGCTCTGATCCTCGGAAGACGCTGACGTAAAGATGCCCCCGTGCGTTCAGGCCGGGGAATACCAACCGTATTCTACGACACCGTATGCATAAATAACGGGGGATAAGCGGGGAGTGGTTGGAATTCCAATCGGCAGTGAGGCCCAAGGTAAATGATATGCGGTATCGGGGGTTTGAAAAATAAGATTATTTGGGTGGAAACCGAAACCAAAGCTTTGAGAGGGGGGGATTTGAGTGTGCCGTCCAGTGCCCTAGTCTGCCCGATCCCTGGCTCCGGATTGATGAGTAAGATTGATTAGCATTGGTTACTTTAAACCCCCCAGGATGAGGGATGGAGGTTGTCGGGGGCGCGGGGACACTGTTACCCAAGGAGTTCGATACGGTAGTGCATGGTGAACGAAGTCCTTGGCTACAAGCGGGCTACCGGTACCCTGCCCAGAAAATATTGCTAACTTTGGCCCCCAGCCAAGGATTCTCAACCACCACCACGATTCCGATGAGAATTATGGCTCTATTGGGCGATGGGGCGGGAGATTCTCTATACATTAATACAAAGAAAGCGGGAATATATCCAATTTTCAGAGATATTGGGGTTTAGAAACATCCTGCGTCAAAATTTAGGCCAGAGCATGGGTGTGCCCCGGAAACGGTAGTTACCCTTAATCCCCTGAGCTTACTCCGTACAAGGAGGCGATGCCAAGCAAGCCGGCAGCCCTTTTTTTTTTAGCTTGAACGAATGGCCTCTTTTTCCGGCTTCAGATGTCCCTCATCGTAGGATTGAAGTTTCCTTGGTTTGAGAATCCAAGGAACATGCATTGTTAAGGCCGTCATTAGCGCGACCCTTAGGCGACATCTATTTCTCCCGTGGTGGTTTGGGTCAGAATTCCCGGGTCAGATTCGGCGAGTAATCATAGCGGAATGTGAAGCGCCCTGCCCAAGAACTACGCCCGCTAAGGGTCACGACGACTCTAGATCTCCAGGGTATGAATACCCAATCCCCACAATTCTCGAGCGGAGGCTCCCCAAGGAACCAGGACATCCTATCGAAGAACCCTAGGATGGACAGAATTGGGGGGCAAGTTACAATCTACAACCCGACGTATAATATGATATGATCACTACGGTAGTCTATATACTTGTACGAGTACCCGTGCCTTCAGAGCAGAGAGCATACCGTTAGCCAAGACTTATCCCCGTCACAGCATCCCCCATCCTTGAACCCACTATGCTTGATGCATAAACTGCGTAATACCGGTATCATACCACCGCACCACCGGCATCACACCTGCTATGATAGAAGTACTCGTACACCGAACTACTCGAGTACAAGTACACCCTCCCCCGTTAATTCAGACCACACAACCCCATCCAAACACCGGACCCAACCGAGCAACCAACCACCCCTACCGAGCCGAGCCCATCCCAGCCCGACATTCCAAGTTCGGAACAAACACCTGTCAGGGTAGGACAGTGCTTGGCCAAGTTCAGCTGAACCTCAAACAAAACCCCGCAGCTGGGACAGATCTCTGATTCCAAGAATAGCGCACCCGATCGGCCGTTGATGAGGTCACCCCTCCCCTCCCCTCGCCCCCGGAAATTTCGATACGATGCGATATGGATGCGACGTGCCGGTGATCTGATTTCTCGCGCGCCTTGCAAGAAGCGGCGGGAGCGCTGTATCGTTGCACACGATTCGCGCCATTAGTAATGGATGGGGAAATGAGGCAGGGATACAGCGGCAGCTCAAGCACCGGGACGGTACTGGCACGATAATCGAAACGTGTGCTATGTGCAGTGCTACACGAAAGCCGAGAATTCCCAGCTCTGGGAAGGGGGCGAAAAATACTGCAAAAGGGAAAAAAAAACACGAGACTATCCCAGCGGTAGCAACTCCAGCGACATAACACGTGGTCCCATTATTCGAGTTCCCATGCATTATTCCCACGAGGTAAGTATAAATGGCGGGTGTTTTTATCTTTTTCATTAATTTCACGGTTTGATTTTAGGACGATGCCGTGCAGTATCGCACCGTACTTGTAATCTAGCATAGAGGATCTCTCAGGGGACTTTTTTCCCACCGGTAGGGTGATTCCGTTACAATAGCCCTATGTATATCCATTTTGTTCTTGCGAGATACAGCCACCTGCCGGGCGCCACCACGGCAGAGCCCAAAGCAGAACCTGCGGGCAGCGGAAGTGGGAGCGGAACGGAACCCCATGATTCCCGGTCCTACCAGACAACTATAATACGCTCACTTATCTCATGCACGGAAATCAAGCAAACCCCTGTTTTTTTTGCTCCAAATGACCAAGAAACCCGGTACGACCTCGGCAATCATTTTTCAGAAGTGGTGGCTAGGATTTTGTGTAACCCGAGATACATGGTGCATCGACCGGAGGCAGTGCAACACCGGTGATTCTCACTTAGGGAATGCAAGGCCGCAGTGCTTCTGCTAACTCGGCAGGAGGGGTGGGCCCAGACCGGAGCTATCGCTTCGCTGTGCCTCTTCCCATAGCAGAGGAGGGTGATCCAAGGCATGCAACTTAGCCAGCATGGTATCTTTTGAACCCTTTATTTTCCCTCTGATGGACAGTCGGCAGTCTGGCCCAAGTATTATCCACCACTCAGTAGTTGCTCCGGCTCTACATGAGCCGCCGGAGTGCGGCACGGTGACGTTCAGTTCGTCTCTGCATGCGGACATGGAAATGAGCGACATCCGCCAGTCCACCCACTGGACATCTCAGCAACAACCTCAAGAGGTATCGGTGCACCCCCGGGGCTTCTCCCGTCGGCCAAATGTTCGCTTTTGAGGCTCCCGCAGCAGACTACCAATCCATCCAAAGCAACCGTCCCACCACCCCACACAGAGTCCTGGAAAACAATGGCATCCCATCCACTAGGCGATGGAAAATGGGCCACTTGCTAGTGGGTGATACCCGGGAGTCCTTCTAAATTCACACAATTCGAGTTCTTACTCGCTGGCCGCGCAACCAGTAGCGCCGCTACCGCGGGTACCAAACAGAGAGATTCCGAGACCACCCGATCCACAATAACCCCTTGAGCATCAAGCGCACGAGAGCTCAGTGCTATGTTCAACATTTACACAAAAAACTACCCCCCCCCCCCCCGAATAACTGTCGTTACTGGTCGAGGGCAGCCCTAAACACCCGCCTCGAGATTAGGCTTTGTGACGGTCACACATATAAAGTACGGGTACAAATCTTTTCGTCCGGCATGGCAATGGCAACCCCACCACCACAACAAATTTACTACCTATGCAAACACAACTGCTTAGAATAAACTGAATATTTGGATATATATCTAGTACATATAAGAAAGCCTTCATATGAAATTATAGAGAAAAAAAATCAATACTTTGTATACCACCCCTTTGCATCTAAAATAGCAGCCACCCCCTTAGGCATAGACCCCCACAAGTATTCTAAAACTTCACCTTCAATATCCTGAGCCCAAACCTGATTTAGAGCTTCTGCTAGATATTTTCTAACAGTATCAGGACCCCCCTTAGTCTTGTGAATGTTAGGAAAGTGCTGATGCAGCTTTTCCTTGACACTATTCCAACAGTACTCGATAGGATTGAGATCTGGGGAATTGGGAGGCCATTCCATAACCTGTATGTTTTTTTCTGTAAACCAAGCCATGGTATCTCTTGCAGTATGTATCTTTGCACCATCCTGCTGAAATATAGGATCTCCAACTGTGTCCTCTACCTCTTGTCAGACATCAACCAAGCCATTCTTCAAAACTCTAATATATATAAATTTATCCACACTCCTGTCAAAAATAGGAATCAGGGGACCCTTATTTTTACCCCAGATGCAAGCCCAAACTACCAGCTTTACTTCTGGCCCCTTTGTAACTCCTTGAATACAATCCTGATATCACTTTTCCGCAGGTGTTCTGAATACACAAATACCCTTAGAATTTTTGGACTTTTCAACCATGAATTCATGTCATAAACTGTGACTAAGCAAGGCAGATTTCACATAGCTCAGAATTCCGAGCTATAGGTATGTTGGGATTTCACATGATGCACACTAGTGCACCATAGATTATTATATTTTGATTGGTTTTAAAAATGTTGTGCAGCGACTCATAGGAGTCAGCTGATGGATTTCACATGACTCACAGTTATGAGTCACAGGGTTTGTGTGACGCAAGGTATGAGTCACGCCAGGTAAAGAGCGACTATATAAAGGTTCACTAGGACCCCGAGTATGAGCTCTGTACATGTTCTTCTTATTTATTTCCTACCTTTAAGTTATTATAAAAACTACCTTTATGCTCTTTCAGATTTATCTTAAGAAATCCAAGAATTGTCTTTCTGCCCAAGAGAGAGAAAACTGTCTCTCTTCCCACGTTGAACGATTAAGTCCTAACCAGGACTTAAGAAAATTAGAGGAATAGGCACGATAAAATAGAAGTCAAAAGGACTTGACTATTAGTATCACGTAGGCAACGGCCTAAGAACTATTACCTCGCTACAAAATAAGAATCATTACCTGTCGCACCCCAGCACCCAGTAGGATTCTTAACAGTAGAATGTGTCTACAATACAATACTTAATGATTTCACCATGGCTCCTTTTAACCAAGATTAAGAAGGAGACCACTACCTAGAAGACGACAGTTTAGGTCTAGGAGGATTAGAAGAAGCACTCAGCGAAGTAAGCAGACACTCAGTAAGAACAACAAGTCCAGTCACTCTCAAATGAGCTACCCCTCTAAATGAAGAAGAACTACCAGATACCCCAAAACCAGAAAGAATGTCAGGACCAGCACCATCCCCAGGTCTACCTCCGAGGGGGCCAGCACCTCCAAGGACGATGCCACAAAACGAAGTGGAACAGATGATATGGAAGACTATAAGAGGAACGGGGCAACAACCCAAAGTCAAGACCCCACCACGATATGAGGGGGAAAGAAGCAAGTTATGAGGATTCCTGGTACAACTCTTGACCTACTTTGATGCAGTAGGATAGACACAAGAAAACGACCAGGACAAAATATAATATACTCTCATCCTACTCGAAGGAACAGTGCTAAAATGGATAACCCCTATCGTGGTCAGCAATAATGCACCATGGACAGACTGGGCAAGTTTCAAGGCAGTATTCGAAGCCCAATTCACGGACATAGAATTAAGCCAATCAGCGTGGAACAAATTGAAAGAAATTGGCCAAGGAACAAAAAACATCACCAACTACTGGTACTCGTTCCGACTACTCCAGTACAATGAAGACTGCAACAAGGCCTCTACCATAAGGTAGTTTATGAAAGGCTTAAGAAAAACCTATGAAGAGGCATGGAGGTACAGTGAGGAAAGATTCACTATAACTGAAGAAATGGCCCGCTAGGCCATTCGAAAAGAAATCTAGTTTGGACAACTAGACTGGATTCAAAGAAACCAGTCGAACACAACATAGAGCAACAATATGAAAACCAAAGCATGCCTAGAAACCAGAATGGAACTTTCAGAACCACTACACAAGGAGGAGACGCTATGAACCTAGATGCTACTCAAAGAAGACCCTCACTCAACCTGTCCAAAGAAGAATACATTCAGCAATGAAACAACAAACTATGTCTGAAGTGGGGCATAGCAGGACACATGATCAAGGATTGCAAATGCCAAGCCTGTACAAATTCAACGCAAGGAAGAAACCCGCGAACTGATATGAGGTTCCTACCAAGTAGCAATCTGAGAGAAATAGAAATTGAAGACAAATATGAAGAACTGGCAGAAGATGAAGGTCCCCAGTGTTAGATGGTCTGCAGGACGCACTGAAAGACAAATCCATCTCACTTGCCAATTACTACTCAATTTTACGAATACATACGAATGATAATAATCATATTATAATCAAAAGAAAAATATATAATGACTGAAAACAAGTTACAACGATACATGCGATGCCCCACTCGGGATTTTTTTTCTTTTTTTGTTTAACTCATATATTCTTTGTTAAGGTACAAGAACCTGCATGGAGCGCTAGCTATGGCAAAAACAAAACCTTAATGTCAAAAACAACAAACGGTAACGAAATATCTCTCCGCCAGCAATCCCCGCCCGTGAGTAATACAACCCACTGCGCCCGCCAGGGCGACTAATCACAAAAGACAAGACATGCCTCCTTCTGCACGATGAAAACATAAAGCAAGAAAAGTCAAATAAAGCCAGAAAAGACATGAAAGAGAAGTACCACTTCAAGCTGAAACAAGGTTGGTACCGGGCGATGCTCGACCCCCCCCAATCGCAGGGGGAAAGTTGGTTCTGGTATCGGAAATGTATCGTGCGAGACCCCATAAGAGGTCCTTATCCACCCACAGTGGAGCCTCATGGCCTATGGAGTCTACTCCTGGGATATGGAGCAGCCTCGAGGGAGCCTTAGAGGGACAGGAGAGGACAGTATGTTGCATAGTCTCCAGCTCGAGGCCACAGGCAGAGCAAGTGGTCGGTTTGTCTGGCTCGTTCCAGGGGGTATGGGCCGCCTGATAGCTCTTTCCAGCGCTCATTTGATGTATTCGTCCAGCCAGAAAGAGGTCCAGCCCCATAAAGGAGTGCCGGGCTTGGGCAGGGGGTAGAGGTAGTATAGCAGGGGGGGGGCCTGTAGTGCCCAGTCCCGGAAGAGAAGGGAGCGAGTGGTGGTATTCAGGATGGAGTACTGCTGTGAGGAGGGGGGACTGTTGGTCGTCCCGGGGACCAGGTGCCTGTTGAGGCCCGGAAGAGCCCCCTTGGCAGCGACACAGGCAAGGGAATGAGCTATGCCATCAATAGGGAGGTGAGATCGTATGGCAGGGGAGGGCCTGGGGGTCTTCCAGAGAAGGGGGTATGCGTTGCCTTTCAGACCAATAGACAGGGTCCTGTTGGAATCTGGGGCCCTGGTGGCTGATGCGGAGGGAAAGGACAGGGGGAGCCTGGCCAAGGTCGGGTTGATCTCGGGTGGAGAGCAGACCATCCTCAAGCCTGCCATCCGG